CAGATGGGAGTTTTTGTGTGTTGTAAATGGGTGCCCACCTGCATCACCACAGGGCCAAGTGCAAGGTTCACCCTGGGAGAAGTACTGATGCAACCGAAGAGAGCTAAAGAAAACTGTCTCTTTGCCTATGGAAAAGCAGGGGGTTACACTGAGGCTTGCACAGAAACCGTGTCTAAGCCGGGAATTTCCTGAACTAAAAATGGTTGGATGCTTTGAAAGTAGCAGAGGGTGGGAAGGCATCACCCTTCCCATTAAGGCGGGAAGATCCAGACTCTCCTTGCTCTAATATTCTTCCCAAGGCATCTCCTTATGTCTGCTGTTGGAGGAGGACTCGTGGGCTGGATAGGCTTTTTCTTTCAAAGAGAAGAATATGGCAGAGGTCTACAAAGCCATAACTGGCCTGGAGAGGGTGAGTAGGGATGATCACTCATTCTCCTTCCTAGTGCAAGGATTACCCAGTGCCTCAGGAGCTCGCCAAATGGCAGGTTCAAAATGAGTGAAGGGAGATGGTTCTTTACCTGAAAAGTAATTAATTTGTGGAACTCATTGCCTCAGGATGGCGGAGTGGGAAAAATATAAATAGGTTAGAAGAATAGCACCCGTTGCAGGTTATTAAACACTACAAGAGCACTGGTGGCTCAGCGAGTTCCTGAACCTTTAGTTGCTGGGACAAGGAAGGATACCACAACACGTTTCCTGGTCTGTCTCTGTAAGAATCCACCACTGGTCTCTGCTCGAGGTGGGATCCCAGGCTAGATCCATATCCAGCCTGACGTGGTGCAGCTGTCTTAATATTACATTGTCACTGGGAGGTGGTAGAGACGGCGGGACCCGAGTGCAGGTAAAGAACACGGTGGGTTTGCTGAGCGGCCCGTGCAAATCTCCAGCCCTCGTCTCTCGGCCAAACCCATCCGCAACGTGCCGACTTCAGAGGGCCGGGAGGTTTCGCGCCCTTTGGGAAGAGGCACGCAGGCTGTTACCACCTTGGGCTTTTCATTACGTCTCTAGCCGACCTTGCCCGGCTTCGCTCAACACCGTTCTCAAAAACTCCCAAAGCCCAGCTGGGGCGGCCGTAGGGGTTTGTCAAAACCGTCTTTTCTCCCCAGATCGCTTCTGCCTGTGTTCCTGTGTGCATTTCCCTTGCGCGCGGAGTGGAATCGAATGCTGACCTGAGACCTATTCATTTTATGCCTGAATTACTTCGATTTTCTCTGCCCGAGGCTCCTCATTCTTTTCCACTGCATTGCTGCTAGTCTGCTGGGACTCTCTCGTTGCCCATGAAAGTTTCTCATGTCCTCCTAAATTGATACTTTTCTCCATGAGCTGAGATTTTTGCCTAAACACAGAGTCTCACAGAGCTTATTTATCTTAAATCTTACATAGTTTGGTTAGGCACACGTGTGCATGCTACAATCGATCGGTTTCAAAATGGCTCAGATTTATTTTAAGCTTTTTTTTTTCAGATGCCAAATGCATTGATTTCCGTCTGATTAAAAAAAAAACCCACAGAGTATTTTCAGCATGATTTAGCATCTCATCTACAAGTATCTTGATGGGCTTAACTAAATGGTTGGTGCTCACTCATGTGTGGAAAAGGCCTTGGTGTCTTTGGATGCACACTATTTAGGTTAAATGACCTAAACACAATTTAGAGAGTTAAAAAATAATAGTTTAAGCTGATGTCTCACAGCTTGAGACAATAACTACTGCAAGCTATCTCATTATTTTTTGAGAAAAATGTTTTGTTTCAGTGAAGCTATTATCTTTAAATATTTTTGGATGCAAACTTTTGGGATTGTTTCTGGGAACAAAGCTTTTCTTTTAACGCAACTACAGCTTAAAATGAAAATATAAGGAAAAAATGATGATCAGACAAGCCCTGAGTGAAACAAAACATTCAATTCCAATTCAAAGAAAATATTGATTATTAAGACAAATGAACTGTTTTCCTTGATTCCTTGCTCAGAAGAAGTTTGAGTTTTGGATCATCCAGAATTGTATTCTTCCCCTTACTGTTTTTTTTTTCTGGAAGAACCATCAAACCAGAAAAAACAGTATTCGTATGGCTTCATTTAAAAGGCTCAAACACTGTTTCATAGCTCTTCTGCAGAATACATTCAAGCAGTGCTAGAAATACCATCCGAATAGGGATGTTAAGTGGAAATAAACAAGATTATGAATTTTGAAGGCAGTTTAAGAACCTGTAATACAGAAAATAAGTAAAACCATGCCACTATGACCTTAGGCATATAAATACACCGCAGCAGAACAAAACAGACTCTTTCGTTAGGGGCTGAATACGAAATAGGCTCTCTCGGGGCTTCACATCCTGACAAAGCAGCCTGAATTAGCAGCTGGTTAGTTTTAATCCAGACAGCTCTGTCAAAAGGGCACCGTTAGCTCTATGGCAGGGAAGGAGCTGGGGGAGCCCAGCAGCAACTTCACGTCCCCAGGGTGGCCTGAGCCAGCGACCAGCTGCTGCTGAAATGTTGTGACAGAGGAAACGATGGCCCAAAGCGTTTTCTGGGAGGAAAGGGGTTGGTTTTGATAAGCAGGTCCTGAGAGGGGCAGTCAGACCGTGCCCCAGTGGTGTGGTGTGTGGGGACTTATTGTATGGGCTTGGAAGCAGAAGCATCATGAGAAGTTGCAACCAAGCTGGGGAAGGGTGATGAGTGGCAAGCGCACCAAGGTGAACGTACACGGTCAAGGGAAAGTAGAGAGGTTGTGGCAGGGCTTAACACCAGTTCATGTGGCGGCGGTGTGAAAGCAATGCTCATGCCTTCTCCTGCCTCATTGCTTTGGTGGGGTCTCTGGTTTGCAGGATGCAAGACCACAGGGCATCTCAGGAACACCACTCAAGTTTCCCTGGGCAGTAGCATCCGTCTTTGGCAGAACAGTGGTGGAAGGTCGTTACTGCGATGGCACACACCCTAGGCAGTTCAGCAAGGATGGATTTTTGTGTTTGTCCTGGACAAGAATACATGACTTTAGAGATGCACAGCAACCTCTGAGCAGTAGGGGCTCAGGACTGAACGTGGCTACAAAGCATGCAATGCTCTGCCTTCAGCAGATGGTGCGGTCCTGTCACGTGGAGCTCAGGCAGCCTTGCACAAACCTAACACCAACATACAACCGTAGGTAGCAAACTGTGAGAGAGAGCTAGAAAGCTGTTAACCATCACTACTCTCCAAAGAGAGTAGATAGCAGGTGGGATAGCAGGTGAAGCAGGGCTCCAGCTAAACCTTCAGTATCTCTCCTGACTAGGTCTTCCTTCAAATCTCTTTACTGTCTGATCTTTAAGCATTTCCCACTGGAGACCCATACAACAGCTACAACAACCGCCCCTGCTCCTATGTGCAATTCTGGCTCCAGCTGTGAGGACAGGAGTTTGGAGAACATCTGGACACATTGCTCTTCTGGTGCCCAACCTCTCTGTCTCTTGGGACATTCCCTGTGGGCTTGAGCCAGTTTCCCTTCTACGAATCGCCAGTCTAAACTGGAGACCCTGCTGGGCATCTATAGAAAAAACAGGTATAAAAAGAAATAGGAAAGAAATATCTATTAAAAAGAGGGGAAGTGAGAGCACAAAAGATTTCATAGGAGAAATCGTGATTATGAAGCCAAATCATGCCAGCAGTCTGCCAAGACTTCCAACAGCCAGCTCATGTAGTCATCACACTGCGTGACGTTTCAAAAGATGGGACTACTACCACTCATACACTCTTGCTTGATAAAGAAAATCTGTAGTGGAGAGAGGGCTAGACACCCCTTTCCTGGCCTCTGAACAGTCTGGCTTTGACAAAAGAACCCAGATAGGAGACGCTCAAACAACCGACCCCATGGAGCAGATATCATCTACAAACAGGCAAGGATTTGTGGGGCTGCAAAGCAAAGTTCATGCAACAAGGTTGGTCAAGAGCAAAAAGGACTGCAGGAAGGCAAGTCCCACCACCACATAAAAGAAAAGAGACACTTTAAAGTCAAAGTGACCGAAGAATCCACACCAAAATGAAGAAATCAGGCTAATTTGTTTTTTGGTTTTGTTTTTGTTTTTTTTTAAAAAAAAGGGTACATCATTTAGTGTATTTTTTCAAGCTTGCTGGACACCATACTGAAGCACTGTAAAGCTGTCAGAGAAATTAAATACTTTTTTCTGTTGCCAACCAAAGCGTGCTTTTATGGAGTCAATTAGCCACAAATTATGAACACACATCACTTGTCTGAGAATGAATTACAGTACAACCCAATAAACATAACTGTCTTTGCTCATTGGTCATTGCCCTGACGAGGAGGCCATTGGACTTTTCTATTCAACCATAAAGGAAACTTCGTGTTCATTCGTGTTTCGTTCTGTGATCGTGCCTCTTTCAAGTGCTGCAGTGCTACAGTGTGAGGGGAAATGGGGTCATTGGTATTACTGCTCTGACGTGCAAACCTGGACATGAGCTCAGTGTGCTAAATGCAATTACATCGGTGGAAAGAGTTCGTATAAGCTGGGATGGCATGAGTGCTTGGATCCACAACGGAGCCTACAGGTGATGTCATATTTGATAGAGAAGTGCAGCCAATGTCATCTTTACATAGTGTATTGTGTGCCCTCCACAGACCTTAGAGCCCTTTTCGAAGGCGGAGAGCCACAGTCTTATCAAGTTTTTAGATTTTTTTTTTTTTTGTTTGGTCAGAAGAGTTGCTTTCCTCCCTTTGTTTTTTTTTACAGATGGGGAAACTGAGGCACAGAAAGGTGGTGTGACTTGCCCACAGTCGGTGGTAGACCTTGAATCCGCCCGGTCTGGCTCACGGCTTCTCAGCCCCCACCTGGGGTGCGGTGAGGAAGGGTGGCCCGTTGTTCCCGCTGAGGGCAAGGAGCACCACGGCTCCTCCAACGGCAAGGGGAAGGGGTGTCACTCTCAGCGGTGATGGCACGCATGGTTTCTGCCAGCCCCAAGAGGCAAGAGAAGCAAGGAACCTGAAATGGAGAGGCAGGAGTTCGCTGGTCAGGCACTGAGCAACGGGACGCGACTCTACAGGATGCATTCATGCCTCTCTGTGGCTTTCAGAGCCTCGTGCATGCTCGCGGCGGAGAGCCTCCTGTTGATGTTCCTGTACCTGCACCTCAGGAGGTTCCAGAAAGTAGTCCTCAAGTCTCGGTTAAAGAAAGCATAAATCAAGGGGTTGATGAGGGAGTTGGTGTATCCCAGCCAGAGCAGAGTCCTCTCCAGCCGCAGGGGCATGCAGCTGCAATGGATGCCACAGATGAAAGGCCGCGCCGTTGACATCAGGAAGAATGGAAGCCAGCAGAACGTGAACGCCCCCACAATAATGCCGAGGGTCCTGGCTGCTTTCTGCTCCCTTTTGAAGATGGAAATATTCTTTCGGTCTTGCCGGAGCAGTTTGGAGAGCGTGGCGCATTCCTCCACGGCTTTGGTACGCTTGGAGCTGTGGTGGCTCCGGCTGGAGGCCTCCAGGCAGTAGACGCCGTCCTCTTCGTAGTGCTTGGGGAAGTTCATGAAGCGGTGCTTCTCGGCGCTGACCTTGGCGGCTTTGTAGATGCGGCTGTACATGACGAGCATGACCGCCATGGGGATGTAGAAGGCAACCCCCGTGGAGTAGACTGTGTACCCAAAGTCCTGGCTGATGAGATCGGTGACATTCTTGGCCCAGCCAAAAAGAGGAGGAAGGGTAATGGAGGCAGACAGGAGCCAAACAATGAAGACCATCTTGGCCATCAGCTTCCCATTTTGCCTCACGGGGTATGTCAGCGGCCGAGTGATCCCCAGATACCTGGAAAAGAGAAGAGTTGCAAACGGTTAGGAGGCTTGCAAGGTGTGGATGCTGTTGGGTGGTTTTCATTCCTAATCAGCTGTTAATGCTCTGTCACAGGAGAATTTCGGCCATGGGCAGGGACAAGAAAGGAATTCCCCAAATGGAAATGTTCCCAGAGACATGCAGCTGCAGTATCTTCTGTGAAACGCATTTCACACCACTTCAGCTCTCTTGCCTAAACACGTAACTCACTTCACACTGTCGCCCTCCCAGGGAAACACCCAGGAGTGAGATGGATGATCCACAGAGTAATTCCTGCACCAGGACTGACTCCAGATGAAATGAATAGACTCATACTGGTGTTTAATGGGAAGTGGGATGGACAACACCCTTCTTTTATTTGTCCAGGCAACTTGGGAACTTGAGAAAGAAATAAAACCTGCAGCTGAGGTGCCCCTGAGGCAGTGTGTGAACAAGGAGCAATCTTGCCCTTGGGAAGACTTAAGGGTGTGTCTGGATGGGCACAGAAAGCAAAGCTAGCGATCGGGTGATGGACCATGATCGGGTGATGGACCATGGTACAAGACTGACAGCTGTTGACTCACACCTTCCTTTCAGCCGATGGACCATGTGTTTGCATCTTGCAGCACTGGCACCCATGGGAGACACCACTGTCAGCAGCACGTCCCATCACTCCCCTCTCCATCCAGCCTGCAGTATTAGGACAAACCTACACACTCCTGCAACATCTACTGGAGGTGACCTCTGGAGACCAAGACAGGAGTGAGACAAACAGCTGGATCAGTCTGCTCCCTTGCATGACCCATAGATCCTGAAGTGATGGTGTCCAGCCCTCCCTGGGGAGTAAAACAAGAGGAGCTCTGACTAGGAAATCCCAAAAGCATGTGGTGACCCCCAGATTCACAAATCCTGATGCCTGGAGTTAGGAGTTACCTTCTTAGCTTGACTGAAGGGAGCTGGGGACTGCATCACCCAACAGCTCCTGGTTAGACTACGGGGTGTAATTTTGAACCATCCCCAGCCTTGATTGAGAGGGTTCACGTGACTGAGAAATTGTGTCAACTGTTAGTTCATCAATTGCAATTGTAAACTAATAAATCAGTAGGGAGTTGGCCACTATCAGCCAACGTTGCCACTGAAAAAATTCGGCCTCCTATTCAGTCTCAGTCAGTCCAGCAAAAGCCTCCAGCTGTCATATGGATTTCTTTTACGTTACAGCCTTTTTGATTCAAACCTGCCTGCTCTCAGGATGTTGTAGGCATTTTTAGGCAGGATCACATCATCTCTTAATTGACTTGGATAAACTGTGTCAGTCCAAAGGGGCAGTGAGAGCGGCAGTTGTATGGATAAGTTTTGCTGAAAGCTGTTCAAGGGAAGAATGGGCTTTTCTGCCAAAAGGAAAACTTCTGCAGAGAATTTTATCTCTGTTGTATCATTATTTTTCCCAATAATCAGTCTCACCGGAGGTGTTAGGATATCCTTCTTCCCTGATTATTTCCCTTTTCCAGATCCTCCCCCAGGATTGGAAGAAGATGGAAATAAAATTTAAAAAATCCAATTCCTCCTCCTCTCTTCACTGCTAAATAAATTCAAATCCCAAAGCATTCTCCCTTCTGACTCCCTGATAAAAAGAGTTTGAGTTCATTCGCTGAGATATTCTTTTCCTGTTTTCCTCTGTACTTTCTTCGGCTGGCCCTACTCACAAAAAACCAAGGAAAACTCTCCACGACCACCTACGCTGCTTGAACGCCCTGCAGTGGTACTGGCTGAAGGACGACACTCACGGATGCAAAGGCAACGCAACCTCTCGGGATGGGAAGGGGCTTTTACCCCCATCGCCCCATGGGGCCCTGTCTATGAAGGAGGAGACCTGGTGAGATGGAGATGGACAAGAGGGCTGGTTTCGGTGCTGTTCTTCCAAAACGTACCATCTTCTCCTTCCTACCTGGGCTGAGCACAGCCAGAAGTGATGAGCCTGGCTGGAAGATCGGGACTCGGAGAGATGGGTGGGAGCAGGTTGGAGGGATGCTGCCAAATAGCCCTCCTGCTGTAGGAAGGGGCTCTGGGGGGAGAACAGACTCGATGTCCCCTAGGCTGGGAGAAAGCCCTACCCTGCTGCTGCATCTCCATATTCAGCACCCAAAAATCACTCCTCTGCATATCCAAGCCAAGAACTTTGCAAACTAATATACGCTGTGTTGTGTGATATCCTTTATTATGCTATCACCGGTTTTTCCTTAGAAGCTGATCCGCTCGGGATTTGCTGCAACTTCAAGGAGTTTACATGCTAACCAAGCCAAACGCACAGCGACAAGATTTAAAAAGCCGGCAAAGCCGACACATTTCATCTGCGGTGCCTTGTGCAGTCGCTGCTGGAGGAAATGGGGCCGTTTTGAGGTCTTTGCTTACAATTTTGGTGAGAGCGGGGAGACCTCAAAATAGGCCAGCGTTCACGGCAGCGTGGGAGGCGAGATTGAACAGACATGCAAGGAAATTCAAATCAAATTCTCTTGCTTTGATTCTTTTGTGTGTGTGTGTCTTGTTAATCAAGTTTAGTGGTAATCAGGTGACAACAGCCAGCTCCCGGAGCAGCGATTTACCGGCGGCTTGGTCATTTTTTTTCCCCGCCGTGCAGAGCTGATCATGTAGCCACTCGTTCCTTGAGCAATAAACCATTCCCACATCCTCAATCCCGAGGATGCCCGGCAGCCCGAGCCCTGGCCATGGGGTAGGAGACCTGCCCCAGGCTGGGCTCCACCATCAGCCCCATGGACGAGCCAGTTCAGCGCATTTATTCTACACTCAACGGTAAGTGTTGAATCCTTATGTCAGGGATTAAATAATAAAGGAAAACAAAACCTCTCCAAGGTGCCCGCATCTCCATTCCGCAGCTGGCAAACTAGGAAAGGATGAGCCTTTGCTCACACAGGTTGTCTGAGTCCAAATGAGCCCAGAATTGGGGTTTCCCGGACCCCACGGTTTTACCACAATCCCGTGCCTCTTCTACGACAAATTTAAGCTCCGTACCTCGTTTCCAGGCTGACGCCATGCCTGCCCCGTCATGCTGAAGGAGAGGAAAC